TGGCTCCACTTTGCCCGTCGTATCCGCTGTAGGGAGAGCTGTAGGTGCTGTACCTGGTAGTATCACTGCTGCCGCCTTTGCTGCTACCACTACGCTGGTGACCGTATGCCGAGGTCGCACCGCTGCTGTTGGTATTGTCGTTGGTGTTGCTCGGCGAGTACGCACTGTAGTTGTTGTGTCCAGCCGGCTTTAGTGGCATCGGCCTATCAGCATCCTCATCGTCTGCCTCAAGCTCGTCTTCTGGTGTAGGTCGCACTTTGACGTGTTTGACCAGCTCGACAACAGCTGTTGACAAATGACTAGCTGCAGCGTCCAAGAGACTGACTGGTGACAGGCCGCCGGATGCCGTATGGTTCTTGGTAGCAGTAATGAGGTTGTTGGCCGTGGCGCTGACGCGAGACTTGAGCTTTGCTTGCTGCTTCTCAGGGCTTGCAAAGAGGTCGCCGCTCACACTGCTGGTGGGAGACTGGACCTGTGACAGAGAAGTGCTGTCAATGTCACCCGTAATGGCTCGTACACATTTGACGACATGGCGCATACTCTCGAGAGTCTGCTCTGAGTTTGCTCTTCTCGCAGTCTGCAGCAGCTCATCAATGCTCAGCTGGAACTTGGTGATGTGAACATCCTTGACCAATCCGTCTGGCGTAGTAAAGGCAGCATCGCGGGTGATGTTGGGTTGGTTCAGGGACATGAGCTGTTGTAAGCCCATCGAAGATGCTTTGAGGTTTCGCAGTTGTGTCTTTGCTTTGGCATATCTTGACTTCCAGTCTTTGAGATCCGCCTCGAGTGATGACACTTGACTCGCCATTTGCTCTTCCTTCTCGGCCGCGGCATCGCTGCGGGCAGAAAGTTCCCTCATTTCTTGCAGGAACATGGCTGCGTCTCTTCGTACTTCTTCAGCCACCTGCTGTTGTTCGCTCAACTCCCGTTCGAGCTCCTCGCATCGTTGTCGCCATTCACCGTCTCCATCGTTGTGCGCTTGCTGAGGTGCTCGAGACTGGAGATCTGCGATCTGTTCACGGAGGCTGCTCTCGACATCTTCGTTTTCGTTGCGCAATCTATCTATCTCGGAACGAAGTGAAGAGTTGAGATTCTCAGCCTGTTGAACCTTTTGTTCAAGCGTATTCCGAAGTTGATCCCACTCCGCACGTTCGGAAGCCGAGGCACCGTCGCGTGTCTTGTCGGTTTCTTGGAGTCGCTGCAGTTCGTCGTCCTTGCTACGTATGGTTGTTTCCAGCGAGCCAATCTTCTCCTGCAACTCAGCCACTTGGCTTTGCAGATCTGCGGTCATCTTTTCCTGCGCCATGCTCATACTCTTCGCGCTCTTGTTCGTTTGCCGCCTGGCAGCAGCGCCTTCCAGATTAAATGCATCGTCATCATCTGCTCCGCTGTCATCGTCATCTTCGACCAGGGTTCCTTTGTTCGGCACAATCGTGTTTGACTGGAACGTCTTCGGCAGTGGCCGCCCGAACGAGCCACCCGACCCATTTGAACCGGGCCGCAGCCCGCCTGGTGGACCTGGGGGCCCTCCTTGGGGTCCGCCCATGGGTCCGCCCATTGGAGGTCCCCGATAGCCTGGCCCTGGCGGAGGTCGTCCGCCCATGCTGTTCGGTGTGCCGCCTCTACTCGGAGGCCCTCTGTTACTTATGCGACTCGCGATGCTGCCGTTGGGGCTCGAGGATCGTGGGGGGATGTCGCCGCCGGTGAAGCGCGGGAATCTGCGCTCGAGTTCGTAGAAGACATCGGTCGCGAGTTGTCGGAAGCGCTCGAGAGGCAGCGTGGAGAGCTTTTGTCTCGCCTGGTTACGTTTTGGGTGGAAGTTGTTCTTGGGTAGGAGATATTTGGGGGTGTCGTTGCCAGTCGCACCTGGGCCTCCCCGCTTGCGGTCCTGCTCTCTGCGTATCGACTCATCATATACGTCGGTGCTGAGCTCCTGGAACTGCACAGCAGACAGGCGGGTCAGCTTGTCCTTGGCCCGGCTCGGGCGCGGGTTGCCCTTCTCGTCATTGAGATACGGCCCCAAGTAGGCCTTGAGCACTCTAAAATGTTCCGACATGGTCTCCTCTAGCGCTTGCATTTTCCTAGGGTCTATCATGGGCCGCGTGTTTTCACTGATGCTGGAGGCGTACAGGCCCGTACCGTCGCTCGATCGGCCTACTGAGCTGGGCGGCGAGGGGTTGCCATTGCCGGTGCCAGGGCGCATACCATTGAGCATGCCGCCATCGGGGTTGCTAGGCCCGTATGTGTTGGGAGGGATGGTCGGCGAGTACGGATTGTCGCCGCCAATGTTCCGGTAGCCGTTGATGGGCGACCACTCTTGGCTGTCGGTGGAGAGGGGCGATAGGGCGCCATTGCGGGTGTTCATGGCATTCATCGTGGTTGCGTCGCGTTTCACCCCGCGGGTTGCCGCTGTCACAGGGATCGTATCCGTATCGGGGCGTGTTAGTGGGCTTCAGATGGGAGCGAAGGTTTGCAAAAGCAGAGGGCGTGGCGGGCGGCGAGGGCTGCTGGTGAAACTCTAGGCGTGGTAGGAGTCGACGGGCGTTCGGCAATGTTCCGAAGTGCGATGCGGTGAAGGAGCGAATGCAAACAAAGCAGCGCAGCACGTCAGCCAGCCAAGGGAGTGGAATGCACGCCAGCGGTCTAGTCAAAGAGGCCGAGGTGCGGTGCGAAGAGAGCGACAATCAGAACCAGAATATTACTACGAGTATGCAGGAACCCAGCAGCCGGGGCCATTGACACTTATGAGGCTGCCCGCTGCTGTTGTCCAATGTCGGTGATGCTGCCCCTTTCGCGCGGCCTTGGCTGGGGCATTTAGGCGCTAACTAGCAGCCAGACGGGCGGCATGGCAAGGGCGCTCAACACTGAAGCCGTCGACGCTCCCCGTGGTGTTGATTGCGGAACCTGGTAATAGTGAATGTCGCATTCAGCCTGCCCTGGGAGTCCTGTCCTGCCAGTCTTATGGCAGGCAGCGGTACCATGAACGTCGTGATAGAGGTCCGCGTTTTACGAAGAGATTGCCATGGCCATCCCGGCCGTCGGGTCTGGCCCGGCGATCATGGGCCAACACTGTGGAGACTGAACTAATTTCGTACAGCGAATACGCAAATTGATGGGGTATAGAACAGTCTATCATATCAAGACTACGTTGTAGAAATAGAACATATGATGCCACGCGTCTCGCTGGTGGCTGTTCCCAGTCGACGCCTCTCCCGCTCGCTATAGAGCAAGTGCACCCTTGCCAAGCCACAACACGTGCGCAGCTTCGTCACGTGTCAACCGCCGACCCTCGATCTACTCCGAACCGTCCCTAACGAGCTCTCTTGATCTTCGAAGGCGCCTGGTTCCGGCATTCTGGACAGAGCCAATCCCCCAATGGCTCTTCCTTGATGCCCACACACTCCCAGTGGAACCACTGATACCGACAATTGTCGTTATCGCAGGCCACCATATCGCCGAAGCTAACGCGCTGGCATGTGCAGTACTTGGTGTCATCAGACTCATCTTCCTCCGCATCGCCGCCCCCCATGCCTGACATATCTTCGTCTTCGGTGCCCGCTTCACTTGCCACGCTCTCATCGTCCGCCGTCGTCGATGGCGATGCTCGTGACCCACCCTTGCGGCGTTTCTTGTTGACCCCAGACTTGGCGGTAAGGGCCGCCTTGCGCAGCGGTTGCTGTGGTTTCGCCTTTTTTACTGTGAGTGCGTTCTTCTGCGGCCGGGGTCCTACGCTGCCTGCGCGCGATCCAGGTGTGGACGGTTTCGGGGTCCCGGGCCCTATAGACCCTTGCCGGCCCAGGTTTGAAGATGCTGCAGGGAGAGGGCCAATGCTTCCTGTCGGTCGGCGACGCTTGCTGTCGCTTCCTGCCGAGAGTTCACGCTCCTGTCGCGCGTTCGCCTGTATGGCACTCTGCTGGTTTGTGAGTCGTTGCTGGTTCAACAGCGCCTGTGTCTGCATGCTCTGCAGCGATGGATTCATCCTCGAGTTTAAACCTACGTTTGTCGCATTAGTAAGTCGTGCGATGGCAGCGGCCTGGGCAAGGTTTGGAGCACCACCGCCGTTGCCAGACACGGGGAGCAGCGGTGTGTTGGACCCTGTATTCGACTGCGACGCTGGTGGCACCAAGTTACCTGGAGAGTTCCTCAAAAGTGATGGCATCTCCGGGTCAGTAGGTATTGAACCATCGTTTTGCAGGTCTCGTAATTTGATATCGAGTCGCTTTACGTGACGGTCGAGCTGGTATTGTAAGTAGATGTAACAGAATTCGTTACGAATGACACACCAGCGCAGCCGCCTTGTCGACAAGCCCTATCTTCTCCTCTTGCAGGATCTGTGCCTTCTCATAGTTTGCCATAATGGTTTTCGAATACCCAGCCTCTTTTGGGTTCTCGACTAGGCTGCCATTGAGTTTGATGAATTTTTGTATGCTGCCGTCGCGTTGCTGTATGCCAGACTTCAGTTCTTGGATTTGGTTGTCTTTGGCCTGCACTTCTTCGTAGAGATGCGTAATCTCTGCTGGAAGATTGGCAACTGCGGCTTGTTAGTTGCGAAGTCGCGCACAATGTTCTGATCTAAGTTACCATCATGTATGAACTGTTCAAGTACTGTTGCCGCATCCTCTGCGATAGCCATGTTGAGATTTCAGGTAGGTCGGATGGCTAGGCGTGTCGACGCGTGTGGCGATGTTCGTGACGAGTTATGTCGCGCGCAGCCAGGACGCCGTTGACAGCAAGCTCGGAACGGCGGACAGAAAGATCAAGCGCTGTATTCTCCGTTGCACCTGCGAGTTTGATGGTAGTCGATGAGCGCTGATGGCTTTACAAGTGAAGGAGCCGTGTCGCAATGAAGGAAATGACAAAGCGCAAAAACCTTTCCGCAGACTCCTACTTTGGTCGCACTCAAATCCCAGTTCTTAACCTCTTCTCGCGTCTCGACCGGATTATATCGTGAGTTTAGCTGTTGCGACAGACTATCGGAGTCGTGTTGTAACGCGTCGGGCATGCAGGAACAGCCGCTGACAAAGAGGCTAGATTACGTGTTCGGCAAGATGCAGCGCTATCACACCCAATCAGACGACGGCACCGAATACGAGCCCGTCTCATCCACCACGAACGAGCCTTGTTCCGACGACGCTGACAACTCCAGCCGAGGGGACGACTTGACTGAAGACCAGGGCCACCTGCCATATAGCCACGAGTTCACTGGTACCAGTGTGGACCCGAAGCTCGCTACACTTCTCAACGGACCACAGTGGCAGAAGCCAAATCCGTACACACGTCGCACAGCTAGAGTAAACTACAGCCTTAAGAAGGAGCCCTCGCCATCTGCCCAGAAACGGCCTCCACAAAAACCAAAGGTACGCGTGCAGTGTCGTTTCCAGAGACCCCCTGCACACCTTCGCTACGGAACATCGTGTTCGCCAGTTGCGAGACCCGTCCAAGCTCCAGTGTTCTCGCAGATATACTAACAAGCGCAGTACCTTGCGGCAGAGGACAATCGAGCTCCGCCCCCCGCACCTGACCCTGATACTTTAGCACGCTGGAACAACAGCCGGGAAGAGGAACTGAGACCCCACTCCTTTATCAATACTTTCGTTAGCACCAAAGACGAGGTAAATCGCTGGATCTACGAGGGTGCGCCAAAGACACGCTCCATTAGCGAGGACTTTCTGGAGGGATTTCACGACTCTTCACACATCTTTCGCGATATGCGGGTCACCGACTATGCGCCGCCCAGCGGTCCCAGCAACATCGTGCAGGAGTACCTCTCTCCCGAAGATCCTTGGGTCGCCAACTACCAGGATTTCAAGGTGCTCACTGATGCCGAGAAAAGAGAAGTAATTGCTCGAGAAGCCGAGGAACATGGCCTTGAAAGACCGAAGGGCTGGAACGTGTCCTTCCACTACAACCCACACGTCGAGTACCATCACTTTGGCAGCTCACATCCAATGAAGCCATGGCGTTTGACGCTGACGAAACAACTCGTTCTTGCGTATGGTCTAGAGTATACTATGGACTTATTCGAACCGAAACCAGCGAGCAAGGATGATCTTGGTATATTCCATGACCGCGAATATCTAGACTATCTCAGCATGATCACACCTCAAAACGCGCAGCCTGAAGATCCACAGTACATAACATATGGCTTCGGTGGTGAATCAAACGACTGTCCGGTGTTCGACGGACTTTGGAACTACGTATCCCTCTATACTGGAGCTACGATGAGTGCTGCATACAACCTGATCAACAACCAATCCAACATCGCCATAAATTGGTCCGGAGGTTTACATCATGCGAAAAAGAATCTCGCTTCTGGGTTTTGCTACGTCAACGACATCGTCATAGCGATACAAACGCTCCTCTCGCGGAATCAGCGAGTCCTGTACATTGACATTGACGTTCATCACGGCGACGGTGTCGAGCAAGCGTTTGAGTCTACAGATCGTGTCTTCACACTCTCATACCACAAATACGGCATTGACAAACACGGCTACCCATTCTTCCCCGGTACAGGAAACATCGACGAGACAGGTCCCGTAGACCCCAGAAACCCCGGCAAAGCTCACAGTTTGAATATACCCATTGATGATGGCATCGACGATGACCAGTACAAATGGCTGTTCAAGACAGTCACAGGCGCCGTAATCGACAAGTATAATCCGCAAGCCATTGTTCTCCAATCCGGAGCCGACTCTCTTGGTGGCGACCGCCTCGGTCGTTTCAATCTCAACATCAAAGCGCACGGCTACTGTGTCGAAACCGTAAAAGCCTACGGTCGCCCTCTACTCATCATCGGCGGTGGGGGCTATACACCTCGCAATGTCGCACGAACATGGTGCCACGAAACTTCCGTTTGTGTAGGCGCGACACTCCACAACGAGCTACCTGCCCATGTTCCCTACCTCCAAGCCTTCAAAGGAGCTGAGAACGGCGATGGTGTTCTATACCCTGATCTGCACAACACAAAGCGACACGACAATCTGAACTCGCAGGCTAAGCTGCACAAGCTAGTCGAGCAAGCGCTCGAAAATTTGAGATACTTGGAGGGCGCACCTAGTGTGGTGGTGGATACTAAAGGCATACCCTTGGAAGAGCTCATGCGTGTCAGAGAAGCGATCGATCGGGAGATGGAGGAAGAGGCAGAGGAGAAGGCGCGTCTCTCCGTCGAGAACAGTAGACGCAAGAAGGAGAAGAATATCGGAGGCCGCGGTGAGCGGAGGTAGGGTTGGATACCCTTGCTGTGTTAGAATGGGATTCAACCTTCTGATCACGGCCCATCTACAAGGCGTTCAGGAAAATATTGGAGTCGAGGGAGGATACGCTTTTCGCGATACCCATCACGAGCATTTGGATAATCTATGCTAGGCAACACTCTGTACGGATATGCCATGTCTGTTCTCGGAAAAGTCCTTGGACGCATGCATGTCGGATTAAGGCGGACTTGCGGAGATGATTGGTAGCTCCGAATTTTTGACCGATTCCTCGCAGTCCACGGGACGCGGACAGACTTACATTGGTAGCACATCGTGAACCCTGGTCCTGTTCCAAATCACCTTGTGACGTGTTGTTTCGACTTTTCTGCTTGATGCATTGGCAGGTCTCCGTGGGCCCCGACATAGTTCTACGGTGATGTGTCGATTGAGTTCCAACTTGGACTAAGTCGCGAACGATGTGCTGCACACGGGTGGCCTGACTGGAATGACTCAAAGAGCACTTTAGGCATATGGGGTTTGTAGTAATCTGACTGCAACGGGCCGCCTGACAGGACTGCTGTTGGTTATCAGATGCTCAGTCCCAGCCGTGGATGACGTTGCGTCGGTTTTAGTCGGGCGTAAGGCATAATGTGCGCTGCTTCCTCCGCAGGTTTGCAAGTCAGCCAATCGACTTTCCGTCTCTGTCCCAATATTTCATGGTTGACCAGCCTGATCTGCTCGGGCGTTGATGCGCCATAGTTTGATTCGCCAGAGACTGCATGCCCCACCGGGAATGTTCCGCTTCGTACTGGGTTCGTACACAGTGGTCGGAGAGTGAAGTTGGGTCAGCACCGACAATCGACCAGGGTCTCGCCGCAAGAGTCAAGCCACACGGAGGTGCGAGTGTCAAGAGTGAGAAGACGTCTGGGTGAGAGAAGAGACTATTCCCAGTGTCATCCACCTCTCGTACAATGTCGGACAATACGCAGCAGAGCCAGAGTCCGCCCAATGGCACACACAGGCCAAGCGGCAGCATCAGCGGCCCCTCACCCGGTGGTGGTGCTGGGCCGACGCCAAACCCCCGGTCGTGCGTAACCTGCCGCAGGCGCAAAGTCAAATGCGACAAAAAGAACCCGTGTTCCAACTGTCTACGCGCCAAAATCGACTGCATCTTCCCCGGACCTGGACGTGCGCCGCGCAAGAGCAGGAAACCACCAGATGCCGAGTTGCTGGAGAGGCTGAGGCGCTTGGAGGGCGTCGTCACCAGCCTGAATGCCCAGGTGGAGGGCCACGAGCAGGAAGCCGCCGACCGTGAGAAGGAGCGACACAGCAGCACGAGCGAAGAGGGATGCCCCAACGGGAACAGCGGCGTAAAGTGGCCTGCCAAGCAGCATGGCGCAAAGGTCGCGACAGACACCAGCGTCGAGGGTCTCGAGAGCCGCTTCGGACGCCTGGTGGTTGAGAATGGCCGGAGCCGTTATATCAACAACTCTTTCTGGGCTTCCCTGAACAACGAGGTATGTACGAAGAACTGACTAAACAGTAACTACGCTGATGCATCCCAGGTCGAAGATCTAAAGGCGATACTCATAGAGAACGACGAGGACGAAGATGACGCACAGTCGCCCGAATCGTCCAACATGTCCTCGGCCCAGGGCTTCATCTTCGGCTACAGTTCCTCCAACGTCGATATGCACGCGCTGCATCCTCCCGAGCAACAAGCTCGCCAGTTCTGGGAAGTCTACAAGGAGAACGTCGAGTCCTTAGTCAAGGTCTTGCACATTCCCACCTTCGAGCCTACCGTCTTCGACGCCTTCGCACATCCCGATAAAGTGAGTAAAGGGTTGGAAACGCTCCTGTTTGCCGTATACTACGGCGCCGTAACAAGCTCCACCACGGAAACCTGTCTGGAAAGATGGGGAGAAGACAGAGCTACACTGCTGAATCGATATCGATTTGGACTGGAACAGGCCTTGGCGAGGGCAAACTTCCTTTACTGCGACGAGGTTATTATACTGCAGTCGTTTGTCATCTTCCTCGTCTTGATGCGGCGCAACGATGACGCGCGCAAGATCTGGACGCTGACTGGCCTGGTTGTACGTATCGCGCAGACGCTCGGAATACACCGAGATGGCAGCCACTTCGGTCTGCCACCATTCGAGATCGAGATGCGAAGGCGGCTTTGGTGGCAGATTTGTATTCTCGACGCACGATCCTCCGAAGACCACGGCTGCGATCCCACCATTGTGGAAGCTCAGTTTGATACCAAGATGGTAAGTCTTTTCGACTCAAGTCCCGCACATGTATGCTAATACCTCGCAGCCCCTCAATGTGAACGACACAGATATACACCCCGACATGACCGAGTTCCCCGAAGAGCGACAGGGCTTCACAGACATGACCTTCTGCCTCCTCCGCTTCGAAATCGCTCACATCATGCGCCGCATCGCATACATACCTCCGGGACCCGCTAGGTGCACCGAGTACTTCGCTGGCATGACGATCGAGCAGAAGGAGAAGTGGATAACAGAGTGCCACCAGGCCATGGAAAACAAATACCTCAAGAACTGCGATATGACTATTCCGATTTGTTGGGTTACGGCGACGATTTCCAGGCTCATCATGAGCAAGATGTGGTTGATAGTATATCATCCATATCAGCGGAAAGATGGGGGTGCGACGTTGCCCCAGGAAACCAAGGATAAGCTTTTCATTACCTCGCTTGAGAATGTGGAGTACTCCATGCTGCTCGAGACCGAGGCGCGAACTATGAAATGGGGCTGGCTCTTCCGCACGTATGTGCAATGGCACGCCATCGCCTTTCTGCTTTCTGAGCTATGCGTCCGTACCAAAGGCGAAGCCGTAGAGCGCGCATGGAGGGCCCTAGAAGCCACGGCGGGCCGTTGGTGGTTCCCGCTCAACGACGCGTCGCCACTCCGCAAAGGCCAGCAAGGAACTCTGTGGAAACCGCTCAGAAAATTGCTCACGAAAGCAAGGGTTGCGCGAGAGCGAGAGTTGGCTCTTGAGCGGGCTAGCTTGGCTATTCGAAGCGGGCAGTTTGGTAACAGCCCATTCTCGTTCCAGATGCCATCTGCGCAGAGTCAGATGAACCAGTCAGGAGTGACCACATCACAACAAGACGCCGACATCCTGGACAGCATGCTGCGACCTGCTGCACCGAAGTTGGGAGACATGCCTAGCACTGAACTTGGAAGTTGGCCGAACAGCCCCACGCAAGCCAAATCGCGGAACAGTCCGCTGCAGAATGGAGACGGCATGAGTGGGCAACGACAATTACCGAATGGACCAGCAAACGGCACACGAGGTCACAGCAATAGCAGTCCTGGGAAGGAATTCGGTGACTTGTTTGAATTCGGCCTTGACAATGTGATCAACGATGTCATGGGTGCTGGTGGAGTCTATGACGGGACAACCGTAGACTTTCCAAACTTTGCTGCCCCGTCCACGACTTCGCAGCCTCCGCGCTCGAACACCACCACTTCAATACATCCATACGGCACACATGGCGCGCATCCACCAACAAAGGCGAATGGCTACCCCACGTTTGGCGACGGCATGCTTCCAACCACCAACATGGATTTCAGCATCGACAACGCCGGCAACACTGCTTTGAATGGCATGCTCATGGGCGGCAACGGGCAGCAGCAGCAGCAGGTTGACGACGCCGTCATGATGGACAATGGCGACATGGACTGGACGCTTTGGGACGACATGGTTACTCAGTATGGTCACGGGGGCAACCCGTCGAATCCGGCTAGTACGGCTTTAGTAAACTGGTTCTGAGTGAGTATTTCAAACAGTAATGTTTTCACGAAGCTATGATTGGCGTAGATATCGGCGTTTGGTGGGGAAAGAGCTCTACTCCGTCCTACATGAGCGAGTGAACGAATGGGCGGTTTTATATATCTTATGTTAGAGGTGTAATTCCTAAGCACCTTGTATACAGCGAATACAAGGGATTTTGGAATCACATCTGCATTGCAACTATACCTTGTGCTCGATACACTCAAAATGCATTTTCAACCATTCCACCAACCAGCTACATTTCCTTGACTCTCAGATAACATGGTGGAACGGAGCTAACTAGTACAACACCCTGATGTCAGCTCATACACACCGGTGATGCTGGTCGGTAAACACGTAAGAATGCGACAGGGATAAGGCGCATATATATACCACGTGGAGGCTCTGATTGCGTAGTGCAGCTCTTGGTATCGATAACCTTATCTTCACCGCTTGCCAGCGGCTTGTTGCCCCACGTCCTCTTTCATGCACGCCACGTTACGTGCGCTATACGTGCTCGTTGTAATACAACATCATTTTGTTTATGAAGTTTTCCGTTGTCGAATACATCACAGCACCTTTGAGAACTCTGCCTGTCGCTTCTTCATCTGGTTTGCAGTGGATACTAGGAGACCTGCGAGTAAGCAGTCGGAAAGAAGGAGATCTAGAAGGTTGCGATATTAAGCAAGTGTACCCGAGTGTCTGGTTCTCGGGTTTACATCACTTTTAGGGTCTTGAGAGCGGACTGCGAGACAAGAGATCGCTTCTAGAGCCAGCGAAATCGGCGGCAGCTTCATTTTACTCTCTGCACTTCGGCCCTCGATATACGTTTACTTTCATACTGTCTTTCTACTCGCATATCTATCGCATCTGAGCATTTATACATTCGACGATAAATCATGTCATCCGCAACACCAACGCCCCAGGACTCTGGGCTGCCTGCGCCTGCAACGCCATACGAAACCTCATCTTTGACGTCGGACGCTTCGTCTGCGTCAAAGCCAACCATACTCCATCTCGGCGACGATATCCGGTGGAACCATGACTTGTACGCAGAGCTAAACAACAAATTCAACATCATAAGAACATACTCGATGGCTAGAGAAGACTTCAAACAAGCGCTCAAAGAGAAAAAATGGGGCGATTTCGTAGGCATGTACCGACCCTTCTGGAACACAGGCGGCGAAATGGGGAATTGGGATGAAGAACTCATGTACGTCCACCAC